GGCTGCCGCACATTGGGAAAGACCAAAAGAACGTCCGGGTCTGCGCTACATGGACAAATACAAAAGAGATCTGATAGCAGCCAACACCAGTAGGCTAAAAGCGAATGGGAGGGATTGTAGAGGACCGTTCCAACTGGCGATCTGCAGTTTAAAGGGTGTTAAACAGGACGAGGACGCTCGAAACTCGAACCTCGGTGAAAGAAGAAAAAAAGGAGGTTAAGGAAATACAGAAGTTAAATTCCACATGTATAATTTTTAAGGCCAGTGCCAAAACCACGTAGATCGAACTCAAAGTAACTTCGGGTGTGAAAATAAGAAATTACACCACAGTCTTACGAACACGGATGAATGCCAAAAGAAAAAAAAACACACACAAAAACATAAAAAGAAGCAATTCGCTTTTCTGTCTTTATTAATCATACAGCATACATCGAAATGTGGATTTAAACAGCGCATTATTAATAGAGTTTGGAATGTAATTCAAAGAGGAGAAAGAGTGTGTGTGTGTGTGGGGGGGGGGTCTAATTTTGCCAATCGAACAATGTATTTTTATGAAATTATATAATTTTTGTAGTCAATCTTCCTCTTTCAATATATACAATGGTACTAGCAGGGGTGGACTGGGCCGCCGGGACGATTCCCAATGGGCCGCTAGGACCGGTGATATAATAAAAATAAAAGTCATGAAGATAGGCCGCTTTGATTTTTTCCCGGGCCGCTTGAACTCCCCAGTCCAACCCTGGGTACTAGCATAGTCAGAATGTGAGTGAGCACTAACATATACTGTGTTCGGAACAAAAATTGGTCAATGGACAGCAGTGGCGTAGCAAGGGTTTTTGGTGCCCGGAGACAAGATTCGCGCCCGGGGACAAGATCCATTTTTAGTGCCCCCCCCTTTTTTTCAACTCTCAAACCCATTATTTTCATCAATAAAATAATATCAAAGCACATTTTGGCGCCCCTAACTAGCTGGCGCTCGGGGACATCTGTCCCCCTATGCCCCTACCACGCTACGCCTCTGATGGACAGTGCACCCATCTTGGGGCCTGTATTAAAGCTAATGATCAAACACGATAATTTGAGCGAAGGTGTCAACCGCCTCTGTCGATCCAGTATTCTTTTCTAGCCGTTCACCGCGTGAACACTGCACGAGAAAGTCTTAAAATGTCACGTGTGTAAACAAGTGAACCCCCCCCCCCCAAAAAAAAAATAAAAAAAAATAACGCTCCACAAGATAGAACTGCGAGTAGAGACAAAGTCTACAAAAACAACTCTACAACTCATTAGGATGATTCATATAATTTAAAATGTCACGTGTGTAAAAAAGTGAACCCCCCCCCCCAAAAAAAAAATAAAAAAAAATAACGCTCCACAAGATAGAACTGCGAGTAGAGACAAAGTCTACAAAAACAACTCTACAACTCATTAGGATGATTCATATAATCGATATTTGTCAGCATAATTTGACGGGAATCATGCTTCTATGTTGAAATAGTCGCGTGGGAAGTTGGGCCTTGGCTAGGCAGACCAAACGTCCCGTAAATATGGGATTGTCCTGTTTTTTTCACGATCGTACCCGTTGTCCCGAAAAAGTCTCTCGGGAAGCCCAAATGTCCCGGTTTTTAAACCAAACACATTTTCAAATCACTAAAACTTCCTAATTTATAATTTAACTTCAAGCTATATTTTGGCTAGCTGTGTAGCCAGTGCCAGTAGTGATGTGGGCTCGCGTGATGGCTGCACTGTTCCCCCTCCACCACAGTGTCCCTGCCAGAGATCTCATGTAAATGTATAGCGAAAGACACGAGACTTGATGCCGGCGCGGGGGGGGGGGGGGGGGGACGGAACTTCGCAGAGACCAATTTTATTCAGCTACCGCTACGTGTTAGTCTTGTGTGTTGTGATCCCTACCGGCCTGTTCATGGTATGTTTTTTACAGTTCATAATTTGGTCACCCTAGCCCAGGTTCCAGCCCAAAGACCAGAGTCCCCTTACTGGTTCACGGGCTCTCCGATACCGATTTACCCCTGCCTCTGCAGCCGCGTGGCAGGTCAGGCTCCGATCAACAGCTATCGGTCAAATATGCAATATCATAAGGGGTCGTACGCAAATTACGTCACGCTCAGGGATTAGAGGGGGGGGGATAATTTGTGACACTTTGTGACGGGGGTGGGTGGGGGGGGGGGGTCCAAGTTTGTGACATCACACATTTTTTTTTTTTAACTTTAAAAGTTTCTCATTTTGGAAAAAATCTTTATTCAATTAATTTTAAAAACATTATTTTGAGATCGAAATTGCCTCAGGTATTATAAATATTCTGAAACTCAGTCGCTCACACCTTCTGTGCATATCCAAAAAGGACGCAAAAACTGTTGTGGCCATTTTACATTCGGCTCTGGGAGGACTTCGTTGTTTCGCGTTTAACGTCACAGTTTTCTAATAATACTACATCTTAATCCATTATGGGAAAATGTTAAAGACTTTTTTAAAATCTTAGTTCAATTTTGAAAATTGTATGTATGTTTTGAATTTTGTTTAGGTGTGATGGGACACTAAGGGGGGGGGGGGGGGTAAGGATTTTTTACAATTTGT